ACTGTACATGGGCATTAAAAACTATGCTTTCTGACTTTCCACACAAAAACACAGAATTATGTGAATATCCATACCGAATATCCGTATTGTAATTCAACTGCAGTTTAATCACCATTCAAGTGTATCATTTACATCACTGTTTTGCAGGAGATCTTTAAAAAATGTTTTGGGTGGTGCATACTTCAGCTGTATTCCTTGAAATCAAAAACATTGTCCTCACCACATAGGGACAATTTTTCTGCCTGAAAAAGTTTTTTTTTCAAAAAAGTTTTTTTAAAGAAATCTTTGCATTAAATTTATTTAGTATGTGAAGGGTCAATTCAGTCAGTACTGCTTCCTTTCTGACTCTCTGTTTCAAGGCTGGTCCAACCTGTTCCCAGTCCCACATCTCCAATGAACAGTGGGGCATTTAATGGGTGTCTAGCCAAAACACTGCTGTCCAATCTTTATTGATTGGTACCTGCTCTACTGTTTATGCCCTTCTTCTTGATTAGAGGAAGGAAGCCAACACAAGGAGAAACAACAACACACCAACCCTGACAAAGACACTGGCGATTATATACATACAGTACTTAAAGTCAATATAGCACATCAAACCTGCTGCCCTCCACACACTTTTGTGACTGTGTGATATCGGTTCCTTCAAGCAGAAAGACTCTGAAAGAAGACTGTAAATACGTCGCAGTGCAGTGGTAATGTCACAGAGGAAGAATATTTCTTTCTGAAAAAGTGTTTTGAAAAACTTGATATTAAATTCATTTAATATGTGAATAGTCAGTTCAGTCAATACTGCTTATACAAAGTGAGGAAATGTACTGTATTCTACTAAACAGCACACAACATCATTCCTTACAGTTTTTTGCCACATTGTGTCGAGACGTTGTTAGAGAACTATCGACAGCGGCTGGGAGACATTATGCTTCAAACTGCTGACAATATCGCCATCTGTAGGACTCACTTTGAAAACAACACTTTATTCACACAAGCAGACACACAGGCAGCTTCCTCTGTCTTTAGGAGCCCATTTCCTGTACAAGTCGCACTAGAGAGAGAGCTGCAGGAGACAGAATTATTCTGCCAGTATCTTTGCGATCTGGCAGGTGTTTTTAACCAGGATGGTCTACGAGCTCCAAACCAATAACAAACAGAGGGAGTTTGTACATCTGCCTTTTTAAAAATCACGAACACAAATGACATGTGGCTCTGACACAACCCGTACTTGAAGGGAATAAGTTGTGCACATTCATCCCTGTGCTACAATCAAAGACTGTGAGTCTTGCGGTGATCTCTTTACTTTGTTTAACTGTGCAGCTGTGGTCCTCTCTTCTGCTCTTGGAGGCACCAGGTTTCACCCTTCCAAGGAAAAAGGCTACACATCACAAAGCAATAATTTCATTATTTTCCCTCAGTAAGACAAGAAACAGGAGGTTCACTGTTTTGAGAACAAGAAAACACCTTTAATGTTTCCAAAGCTTATAGAACTGCAGCATTTTCTTTGCTTTATATTTTGCAACTTGGGCTTCATCTTTGATAAAGATATATTCAGTCCTGGAGTAGTTCATGTGGGTAGCTGTGTCAGCATGCGTAGGCTGCAAAGGAACAAGTAATAGGTTTATTCCATGCTGAAAAAAGAAAGAAAGAAAACACAACATTTCGGCCGTGGAGCCTTCTTCAGGTGTGTGGACTTGTTTTACAGCACCTTGGTGCTTATATTTAGAGCTTTTGCTTAAAAAAAAGATCTAGTGGTGAAGGATAATGCTTTCACACTGACTTTCCACAAATCGATCCAAGTGTCAGAAGATTAACTCTCAAGATTCTCTAATTTAGAAATGTTATGAACTAAAATTTTGGTGCTCCAGCACTGTGATTTAACTAAACATTCTGTTTTGTGTAAATGAGTATTAATACTGCTGATCAGGATTCGGACACAGTTATATCACTCTGTAGCAGATCACTTTGGTCAGTAAATCATACAGTATATAATAGAATGGAATTTAGCCTATCCTACAGGTAACTAGACTTGAGCTGCAATCTAAACTTTGGGCTTTGCAAATCAAGTACTTCAACAGGATGTTGATTTTTTATATCTTGATTAATTTTTAAAAGAACATAATCTTTGCTTTGGAAAAAAAGACTTCAAAGATGTTGCAGAAGGTTGTGGTAGGAGAAGTTTTTGCTAATAAAATGAAATGTCGTCGCTGTATATGGATCGAACTGAAATCAGAGGGTCCTATTGGTCATCTCCCTAACTGTGGGGCTCCACCTCTCTGCCTATAGAAGGTGCGTGTGTCTGTGATTGGTGGGCTCAGGTGCGAGGATGTGACATTGTAGCAGGAGTGATGTAGGATGTTTGTCTATGCAAGAGCCCGGGTGAGATCAGTGCACATTGTCGATTTCACACAAGGACCTGGACAAGGATGGAAAAAATCCTTAAGATTCCACTTATTTTCCTCTTTGAACTGATCATGCTTCTGTTAGCAGGTGAGTCCTGATTAATTTAATCCTTATTGTTGTTTAAATGTTGTTGTGGTCCTTCAGTGTGGTACTGGATCAGTGTGTGAAGACAGTCGCTCTTTGCTTATGAGGGTGGACGGAGCTGACAGTGACAAATTCAGTGTTAATATGATTAAAATAGAAGGACCTCTTAGATATTCAAAGATAGATGTATCTTTGAAGTATTAAATACAAATTAAATATCATAGCTCAGTATAAATATTTTAAATAACATGGTAATTGATGAAAAACTATTTTCTTAATTATTTCTTTATTCAACATTTTATATCTTCAATCAAATTTTTTAGGACATTACTGAACTAGTAGAAAAATACGTTTTTGGTGATCCCTATATTTCAGTAGTACCGGAGCCAGAGCTGACAAAGTTTTAATATGATTAGAAATGATGGATCTGTGAGATAATCCCTGTATGTCTGAAGTAGATTCAGATTCACAAATTAAATATATTTTCATAGCAAGGTATGAAAACAGTCACTACTTACTTTTTCTTACTTTTTCTGCAATTCAGCATGGTTTTAATCAACTGGTAAACTACTAAAACAATATGTTTTCAGTGATTATAATATAATATAGTGATTATAATATTTAAAAACTACTTGTAATAATGTTCAGTGAGTTTTAGAAATCTGTTTTACTGTATATATATTTTTCCTTTTTGAAATAAAATAATTTTATTAAAATATTTTTAAAAAAATATCTAGAGTAAAGAATGTATGTTTTTATTATTAATTTATTATTAATTCTAAGTGGAGAAGATCACTCTGTTGTCACACACACAGGGACGTTATGTGACCGGCAGGGTTTAGGATACCCAGGCTGTGTAAACCCATTAGCAGCTGAGCTGCTGCTTAATGAACAACACACATCCAAACACAAACTGATTGTAGTGATTCAGAGAGCAGCTGAGGATGTGAAATAATATCCATGAATATTCTGTGGAAAAACATCAATTTACAATTTATGGGAATATACTACAGTATGTGTTCTGTTCTGTCTTTATATTTTAATAGATTTTGTTTTTATTTAAACCATTTGTTTTATTATTAATAAACCATCCTGCATCTTCACCTGTTTAATTATTTTTCTTCCTTCAGTAACTCATGCTTCCCTTCTTAGGATGTGAGGATCTGAGGCTGGTTGGATTTGGAAATCGCTGTGATGGAAGAGTGGAGATTTTTAAGAATGGACAGTGGGGGACATATTGTGACTCAGACTGGTATGGTGAAAATGGTAAAGTTGTGTGTGATCAGCTGAACTGTGGGGATTATAGTGGTGCTTACGACTCCCCTGATGAGTCAAAGCCCATCTCCCTGCATGGGGTTAGATGCGATGGAACAGAGTCATCTCTACTAGACTGTCCATCAGATTCACAGTCTTGTACACATGAGACAGACACTAGAGTGAAATGCTCAGGTAAGAATAATCTACATTTACTGTATTTGGAATGAAATAACTGTATGTGGGCTTACGTATATACTGTATGTTTGTATTTTTCCCTGAGAGAATACGTTGTACACCAGAATCTTCTAATATGTACAAAATACTAGTCACTGACAGTGAAATGTTCAGGTAAGAGATGTGAGTGAGACACATACAATTACACTGATTCAATATATACAAATGGGAGATTCATCTAATCGAGTGTCTGTGGTTGTCAGGCAAGGTAATATATACTGATTTCTTTCCTTCACACATCTGGGTTGTTGGTGACCTTTGGAATCAGGTGAGTGACGTTTTGTATTTGTGTTGGACTGTATATAAGTGTTGTATTTTTTCCATATTATTGTATGTGCCATCACCTTCACACGGTATAAACCTTAAATCAGAGTCTGGCTTTAAAAGTATTACTTTACTTTACAGAGTATTACATCCTTCACCAATGTATTTACTACAGCAATCCATCTGTATAAAAATAAACTTTGTTTTTATCAATAATGAATTAATCATCTTGAAAAATTAATCGCAATTAGAAATCCAAAACAAATAGAATTTCTATTTTGTAACAGAAGTAAAATGACACCCCTTCTTAGTTCTATTAAGAGAGAATTATAAGGAGAGGAGACGAAAGTAGTAAACCTGATGTGCATTCAAGCTTATGTACATGACGGGTCAGAGAGTACTGTTGTAGAGGGGTTTTATAGAAAAGTCTCTAATGATTCAAAGTTTTAAGTCTTCATGGGAAAAGTAAAATATCAAGAAAGTTTTCTTTTCATCATTTACATTTGGTTTGTAGTAATAGCTTAATCCAGAATCTCAATGAAACTGTTTTGTGTTGCCGTTCAGAAAACACTGGGAGCAATTTTACTCCTCAATTACAGAAGTTTCACGTTCTTTTTCTAGTCTTTATGTTTGCTTTGAATTTGTCTTCTGTTTGTCATTTCTACTCTAAATATTGTGTTAGATGATTAAATATATTCCAAATGCATAACTGCTCAATAAAGTGAGCTGGTTTTATGTTAGGAGACACAGCCCGGCTCTCTGGAGGGATGTGCTATGGAAGATTAGAGGTGAATCGAGGAGGCAGCTGGAGGTCAGTGTGCTCTCAGTCTGTGGACTCCAGAGACGCGGATGTGGTCTGTAGAGAACTGGCCTGTGGAGTCTCCAGGGCTGTGCTGGGAGGAGCCTCTTCAGGACAGGGGACTGGGCCCATCTGGGCAGATGAGATCCAGTGTCGGGGTGATGAGGAGAAACTGGCCCACTGTCCAGTCCTGAAGAGAGAGCAGCACAACTGTACACATGCGGATGACGTCTCCATTGTCTGTTATGGTAAGACATTTACAGTTTCTTCCTCACAAAAATTGAAATAAATTGCAATCTTAAACGTTATAGAGAAATCTTAAAGGTTAGAGAAGTAAAGGTTTCAAATTGTTATCATGTTTATTTACATGTTCTTTATATTTAAATGACCTTGTTACTATTGCAAATTTCAAGAAAGAACCCATGTGAATAAAAAAGTCCATGTTTGCTAATTCTTAGTTTATGGTAATAATATGACTGAAATATTGATTACATGAGTATTAATTCCTGAAAATTAAAAATAACCTAATTATTATATTATGTGAGTTTTTCTCATGAATACAAAGACCTATGAAATATGTTAGTTATTCCAACATTATCTTATGGTGGTAACTCTTCTGCTCTCCGTGACACCACTCACTGTCCTGTCCTATCTACCATGTCCTGTGTCCCATATCCTGTGTCCAGGCTACACTGACTTCAGGCTGGCCAGCGGTCCTGACCGGTGCTCTGGCAGAGTGGAGATGAAGTTGGGGGCTCAGTGGGGGACAGTCTGCGATCAGGGCTGGGACCTCCGGGACGCCACAGTCCTCTGTCAGCAGCTGAACTGCGGCTATGCTGAAGCAGTCCTGGGCCCGGCCAGATTCGGACAGGGCAGTGGCTCCACGTGGACCGATGTGTTCGACTGTGAGGGCACCGAGACTGAGCTAAGACAATGTCCCATCTCTCCATGGGCTCACAGCTCCTGCAGTCACAGCAGAGATGTGGGAGTCGTCTGCTCTGGTGAGTCCTGCTCTGTACTGGACTATAAAAAGTCTCAGGAAAGACCTTCCACATTGAGGTACTGTAAGAGCTACTCATTAGATCAAGTGTTTTTACTAATAAAAAAGGGCATTATTTAATTTATTCAAATGACTATTATTAGGATTATATTATTGGTATTATATTGTGGCATTTTGGATAGTTAAACTATATAACACATACGTGATAAACTATCACAAACAGGCTTTTGTATATCTGTGCTCATTTTATATTCAGTTGTTACAGCTATTTGTGAATCTGTGCATTGTTTTCTAAAATTAGGATTTTTAGATTACTAACGCATATGTTATAGATGTATTTGCAAAAATAAGGTTATGACATAATACGCAGTTACTGAAATACGAGTGTTTGTGTAAACATTGTAAATGCTGCGATTCTGGTGAAGTGATGAAACCTCCCACAGTATTAAGATACGGCTCTCTTTCACTGTTAAACTCCTGTCTGTCTCCTGTGTTGCCTGACTCTGCCAGGAGCGGCGGGAGGGGTCAGGCTGGTGGGAGGAGCCGGGCGCTGTGACGGGCGGGTGGAAGTCTTCTCCAGCGGCAAGTGGGGGCGACTGCTGGACTCGTCCTGGACAGACTCTGCCGCCTCGGTGCTCTGCAGACAGCTGGGCTGCGGTTCGGCTCTAGAGACCTCCAGCTCCTCTCGCTACGGGCCGGGCCGCAGTGACGTGTGCTTCTCGGGCGTCTCGTGCTCCGGGAACGAGACTCACCTGGGGAACTGCAGCCGCCCACAGCCGGTCAGCTGTAGCTCCGGGAGTGACGTGGGAGTGCTCTGTGAGAGTGAGTCCGTCTGCAGGACAACACGCCTGCCCGAAACACACGCTGCAGATTTATAAAGAAGAAATCATTAAGAATTTTTAGTGTTGTGGATTGTTGTAGAAAACACTTCTTTCCTTGATAGAAAGTGAAAGAGGTCTCTCATTGTACTTCCTTCCCAAGAGAGATCCTGTCATTTCCTCTCTGTGTCTCAGTGAAAGAGTTCAAACACACAAGAGTGACCAGAGTTCCTGCTGTTTTCCTCTCCCACAGAACACGGGCTCCTCTGGCTGTCCGGGGCGGAGAGCCCCTGTGCTGGGCGGCTGGAGGTGTATCACCGGGGCTCCTGGGGGACGGTGTGCGATGACTCCTGGGACCTGGCGGACTCTCAGGTGGTGTGCAGGCAGCTCCAGTGTGGGACGGCCGTCCGCGCACCGGCGCCAGTGTCCTTCAGCCAGGGTGCCGGACACATCTGGCTGGACGAGGTGGGCTGTCTGGGGAACGAGTCGTCTCTGTGGGAGTGTCCCTCCAGACCCTGGGGTCAGCACGACTGCGGACACAAGGAAGACGTGACCATAGTGTGCTCAGGTGTGACAGCAACATTCTTCATCAGCAAAGAAAAAGATTTAGTCAATATTAGTCACTTGTGAAGGAAGGACACTCAGTGATCACGAGGGTCACTATGGCACAGAATGTGGAAGTAGAATCCTTGTTTTGGATTTGTGAGAAATTTAAATTCAGTCAAAGTTTTAAGTTGTTCAACTCTAATATAGTAAACCAACTACGAAGCTGTCAATTGAATCATCATTTCTGGTTGAATGAAGCTGTTACAGGCTGGTCAAAAACACTAACAGCCCTGGAGAGGCTGACTATTGTGTGGTAGCTAACTTTAATGATTTAACATGAAAATGAGACAAATGAAGGAAAGAAAGTCTTCAGTAATCAGTCCTACTGTTTCACTAAGCAGGTTCTCTGTCTCATAGTGAGAAGATCATTTCCTGCTCTGTTTATTTCCAGGTCAAGAATGTCAAAAACGTTAAGTTTCAGCAACATAAACACCAAAATGTGAGACGAAGCTGCCATTCTAGAAACATAAACACTGAAGTGGAAAAAGCTTATTTTTAGTTCATGCTAATTGAAGCACATGATAATAAAGCTTTGCTGCTTGTTCACTATGGCTTGCTCAGTGTAACAGGTTTTTATCACCAGCTACTGCAGCACCTCTTT